GAGCATTATCAAAATAAGGCATGATCTTTCTGCTATATTATTAGAAGATATATATGTCGATTTTTTTGCTGTCACAAGTGGCATAAGTTCTATATATTAACCTGTGACGCAACCTGTGACATGTTTGTTATACTTCTTGAGATTATTATATTATTTTATTTCTTTCTTGATTAGTGTCACAGGTGTCATAAGTAAAAGAGTAATAAATTCTAGAAAAAAAATTAAAATTTTTCTATGATACCCTAATGGTGTATATGTATCGTGATATTATTGTATGTATAATATATGTGGTATATATATGCTTTAAAAAATAAAAAAAAATAAGAAACTCAGATTTTTCCTGTGATGCCTATGACACTCTTCAAGAAACCTTTCTTTCAGTCTAGAATTCCTAAAGAGCCTATTGTCTGTATCATAGGTTCTGTCACAAGCTTTTTTTTTTCCTGTGATACTATTGTTAAGTTGTATTATTTTGCATCGCTTTTATTTTCAACCGCTTTCTGCATTGAAGCTAAATCAGCCAACTTTTTCTGATAGTATTGTTCCCTTTTATAGTGCTTTCTAGCATGAATATCACAAAATCCATATCCGTCATAAGTTAATTTATTGCATCCATATTCATTGCAAGGTATCTAAGAAGGAGAATTACAATGAATATGACATCCTTTTGGATGGTAGCATCCCTAATTGCAAATCTCACCACTCCTGTGAATATAAGTACATCGATAAAATACCATTTTTAATAACTACAAATGGTTGGTTTATGTATCGGTTTATATATTTCAGAATTAATTTTCATTTTAACCTTTTTTTCTCCCAGAATATATATATACTTGCTCTTGAACTATATATTTGTGATATAATATCATGATACAATTTGAGCTTTCAGAGTTCCTCAATACCTCACCCTTTTTCATCCAGAGGCTGAAAAAGATAAAATGGAAGGCCAACTGATTCGCTATTCTGGTGAAAAAACTTGTTGAATTTTTCAACACTAGATGATATAGTTGCGAAAAATGATAAGGAATTAACTCCAATACTTGAGAATGCTTTATCTAAATAACAAGATATTCCATTCATGATCATTGTGATACTATCTCAAGAGAATTAAGACACAAAATACCACGTATTAAAATTATCATTTTGACTTTTCGTCTCTGGTAAAAGAAGCAAGAACAAATCTTTATATATTTGGTTAAAACCTGGATGATAACAAACCCTTTATTAACAAACTTCTTAGAACAAGTACAAATTTTGCAATTATTATGCATATTACCCCAACGAATAATCAAAGCTATCAAACTCTACTTTCACTTTGTACTAGATGCATTTATCATAATCCTTTAACCAAAATTCTGCCACAAACTAAAAATAGTGAGAACTAGTGATACCTGACGAAATTACCTTTCTTAATATGACAAAATTGACGAAACTGAAATGACGAAACTAGTTTTTTATTAATGACGAAATTATTTTACTTAATTGCCGATATTATATTTAATTTGATCTAAATTCCTTGAATTAAAATACATTAAAAAATATAATAATTTTATATTTATTTATATAAAAATATTACGGAGACAAAATTTTTGACAAATTACAATTTTTCAAAAAAGAGTTTAGTCAGGTATCACTAGTGAGAACCATTGCTTTTTCACGATTCCTAGAGATCTTTGCTTTATAATTTCCACCCTCTGTAATAATAGTGTTGAAAATGTTCCTTGGTGTACATAGTCTCTCACCCTTCTTTATGATTTTGTCTTTACCTTTATTAATTAACGCAATAACAGGGTTCCTGAATATGAAAAATTTTTATATAGTGAACTCTGTCTGAATAATTGTAAAAATTTTTTATATTATATGACAAATATTTTATATTTATTTCAAATATAGTTAATATGTACATCTAAAACAATTGAATAAAATTGCAAAGTATACAACTATTCTTTTAAAAATTAATGTCATCATTTATATCATTTTTTTTCATATTTTTCATAATTTTTTCAGCATTTATAATGCTTTTTTCAATATCAATAATATTATTTTGCCAATAATAATATGATGTTAATTGCAAATTAGTTAGCCATAATTTTTTGCCCATCCACTTTGATATACCATGAAAAGTAGTTTCAATATCACCTAAAGCTGCAATAAATTGAAATGAATATATTTCACATATACATGTAAATTGTGTGTTATTTTTTGCAACTGTCGGTATAAATTCACAATTGAAATCAGATGATTATTCAAAAAGTCTAGCATGAATTCGACCGACATTCACTCCATTCAACATATCAGCTCTAATATAACTTGTATCACATTTCTAAAAAATCAATAATTAAATATAATTAATAGTTTTATACTGATAATCCACCCTGAAGCAGAATTATTAAATCTGTTTTAAAAATTTGATTCTAACTCCGGAACTCTTAATAATTTTATAAATAAACTTATAACAAATATTGCTATAATTTCTGCTATCAAAATTGATTGTGATTTATCTAAAAAGAAAAAAAAACTTCCAGCTTTAAATTTAGATGCGTGCGGATTTATTTTTGTTTTTTCAAATACTACTTTACAGGTTGTGATCCACCTTAAAATACGTCCTTTAGTTCTAATTGGTTTTATACCAGTATGCATTCGTTCATATCTTATAGCAGTTGTCAATTCAATTGGACCGTCTTCTGTCTTAACTATAAAATTCTTTGGGTTATTTGCTGCCTTATTATTTGATTTTTGGTATTCTTTTTGAGTATATTCGTCAAATAAAGCTAAAAAAAATAAAAATAAAAAGTACATTAATATTTTTTTACAATATACCTTATATACAATTATTACTAGGAAATGGAAACCGTTGTGAGTCCGGAGTGAAGTATTTTTGTAGATTAGAGTTTCAAACTTGATTGAATGTAATACAATAGATAGAATAGTAAATATAACACAATAAATATATAAAAAAAATATATTAATAAAAGTATCAGTATCACGTGATCGGAATATTAACAATACTCGCCGGATGTTCTTTAACATAATTATGTTAAAGAACATCCGGCGAGTTGAGTTAGGTTATGACAGTGGTAACA